ATGTGGAGGAGTGGGGAATCAAACCCAGTTCTCCAAGATTAGAGTCCATGCTCTTAACCACTACACCAAACTGTGTACACCAAACTACACCATGATTTGACAGAAGCCCCATACAAGGGTCACAATTTCACACCATTGGGAGGGGAGTCTCCATTACAATGCCCTTCCCCCATGAAACCAACCAGAGCAGAAGCCTGTCATTTGGGAGGAAGGATTCATGCCTTTGGAGGTGCCTAAGGAGTCTCAAAGCAGCTTACAATTGCCTTTCCCTTCCTCTCCCCCACCATAGGCACCTTTTGAGGTAGGTGGGGCAGAGAGAGTTCAGAGAGAAACTGTGACTGGCCCAAGGTCACCCAGCTGGCTGCATGCGGAGGAGCGGGGAATCAAACCCAGTTCTCCAGGTTACAGTCCACTGCTCTTAACCATTACACTACACACTGGAATAAAGCAAAAGGCTGCCCTGCCCAGCTGGAAAGTTGAATGTAAACTCCCCAGCTTCCAAGTATTTCCTTTGCTGGTCTTGAGAATCTATAAAGAGAGGTAAACTGAAATCATGCAAGGAGCACAAGTGTGTATACAAGGCAGAGACCACTACTTAGTAGTGCAACATGGCTTCAATCCAAAGCAGCATCTAAGCAGTTGCAAGGACTTCTGCCAGCGGACCATGACCTTTTCACCTCCCCACCTCCTGTTAGGGGTGAGAAAGTCACACTTCACAGGTGGAAATCCTTTTGCCCACAAAATGCTATTCTGGATCCAAGCCTACGTTTTGCACATATAGGTGTCCAGGTTCGTTCCCTGAGATCTCCTGTTAAAAAGGTGTTAAAAGGGTGGTCCGAGCTAGATACGCCAAAGATTTTGGAGCACTTGGTCCTGAGCCAGACAGACCCAAGGTCTGAATCAGAACAGAACAGGCAGCTTCCTTGAAGTGCACACGTCACAAGGAAAGGGTCTTTGGTTTCTGTTGAAGAGCCACATCTGTGGTCAGAGGTGCTGGCCACCTTTTTGGTCCGAGCTAGACACGCCTAAGATTTTGGAGCACTTGTTCCTGAGCTAGACAGACCCAAGATCTGAGTCAGAACAGAACAGGCAGCTTTCTTGAAGTGCACACTTCACAAGGAAAGGGTCTTTGATTTCTGTTGAAGAGCCACATCTGTGGTCAGACTGTCAAGAGCGAAGGTAACGTTCTCAAACTGCACGGGAGATGCAATTTGAGGATCCACCATGTTGCTCCGAGAGGAAAGCTCTCATCATCCTGCCAATGCTTTTTGCCACCCAGCTTGCAGAAATGTATGTGTGGGTGTGTGGTTTAAACTGAGATAAAGCCTCTTCCTGATTAGATGGAAGACACAAGGAGGAGTTCAGAAAGAACCACATACCTGCTCCAGGTACTTTTGATATCCTGAAAGAGAAAAATGGAAGTGGATCTCAGGTATTGGGCTGCCTCTTAGTTCCAGTGAAAATCTGTTTGCTGCTTTCTCCTCGGAGAAAGCCAATTGTCATTCCCCAGACAGCTGGAAAAGGGGTCCTTAGCTCAGTCATACCTGCAAGAATTCATCTGCCGGCTGCTGACACTTCCCCTCCATCTCTGCAATCAGACTACAGAGATGAGAAATGTCCTCAGAGAGTCTTCTGACATGTTCTTCGTGCCTGTCCTCCATCTCTTTCTCCAGATCTCTTAGCTGGGACAGCCGGAGGCACTCCTTTTCTTCCAGAAACCTGCGCATTTGCTCAAAGGTGCGCTTTGTCTCCCTCACCATCGTTCTTACCTGGGTCTGGGGGAAATGCAGGAGTGCAGAAATAAATAAGCAAGGTTCAAGTCCAGTAGCACCTTAAAGACCGAGATTTCCCAGGAAGACAGAGTTAGCCATGTTGGTCTGAGGCAGCAGAACAAAGTTCAAGTCCCGTCTCATTTTTGAGACCAACAAAGTTTTATTCAAGGTATGAGGGTTTTGTGTGCATGCACACTTCTTCAGATACAGGGTATAAGTTTTCACGCGCCCGCTTCGCCAGATCTATTTTACCAATAATCCAATTTAGCAACAACCTGCTCTGCTCTCTTTGCCCCTGCTTACAGAACTGAGGCAGCTGGAGACCAGTGGAAGGGCCTTCTCAGTGGCAGCACCCTGGCTGTGGAATGCCCTCCTTCTTGAGGCTTGCCCTAGCAGGGTAAGAGTGACAATGGATAAAAGGAAGTACTTCTTCACCCAAAGAGTGATTAACACTTGGAATTCACTGCCACAGGAAGTGGTGGCGGCTACAAGCATGGGCGGCTTCAAAAGGGAATTAGATAAGCATATGGAGCAGAGGTCCATCAGTGGCTATTAGGCACAAGGTATAGATAGAGACTCTGGAGCAAGTGATGCTCTGTCTTCTTGGTGCTTGGGGGGGGGGGTCAACAGTGGGAGGGCTTCTAATGTCCTGGCCCCACTGGTGGACCTCCTGATGGCACCTGCTATTTCTGGCCACTGTGTGATACAGAGTGTTGGACTGGATGGGCCATTGTCCTGATCCAACGTTGGCGTCTCTTATGTTCTTATGTTTAATGTAGTTGTGATCTTAATTTCATTGACAGCAATCTGGAGTCAGCAGTTTTATGTTTTTCTGAAACTTGGTCTCCTGGCTGTTGGGGGTTAGCTATTATTTCCCAGTCCCCCCCCCCAGAATGCATGTTTACAGCTGGTTTACCAGTGCACACATACCACTAATTCTCCCACCATGATTACTGCATATGTGAAAACTTGTTGCATTTTGTCTGAGGTGATACAGAATCTGTCACCTTGGCCCAGAGTAGCCTGATCTCATCAGATCTCAGAAGCTAAGTAGAGTCGTCCTTGTTAGTACTTGGGATGGGAAACCACCATGGAATGCCAGGATCGCTACATAGAGGCAAGCAGTGGTGAACCACTTCTGAACATCTCTTGCCTTGAAAACCCCATGTCGGGTTGCCATACGTCAGCTGCAACTTGGCGGCACCTTGCACGCACACACACACACTAAAATCTGTCACGTTACAGGCATGGGGTTGATATAAATTCGTAGTGCCCAATTCCCACTGCAAACCTGTTGGAAAACCATCTGAATCTACAGCTCTAGCCCTTTCTGTTGGGAGGGAGACTTTACAGAGAGGAAATAAGGAGTCTGCCACTCACATTCCACAAAACTAACCAGGAAGGGGAAGTATAAATCTACAAATGAAAAGGTAAAACTCTCTCTCAAAAATTTTTTTCAAAGACAAGTAATAATGCTCATAGAAATATATGAAATATATAAACACATAGATACAACACTTCAAGAAAAGGTGAATATACATCATAGTCTCACAAACCACAGAATGATAATTCTTGAAAGAAACACTAATGGACAGTATTTTTTCTATGGACTGTTACTGCCCCTTGGAGGGCTTGTGCTTGTGGACTATTTAGGATAGTGTTTCTTTCGAGAGTTATCATTCTGTGGTTTGTGAGACTTTATGCGAGAAAGCAAAGTGGCTGTCTGATGAGGCTTTACAAATAGCAGAGGGAAGAAGGAAAGCGAAAGGCAAAGGTGAAAAGGAAAGATTTACCCAACTAAATGCAGATTTCCAGAGAACAGCAAGGAGAGATAAAGAGGCCTTCCTGAAAGAACAATGCAAAGTAATAGAGAAAAACAATAGAATGGGAAGGACTAGAGATCTCTTCAAGAAAACTGGAGAAATCGAGGGAACGTTCCATGCGAAGCTGGTCATGATAAAGGACAAAAACAGTAGGGACCTAACAGAAGCAGAAGTGATTAGGAAGAGATGGCAAG